CTTAGTCTTTCCTACAATCATCTTATTTTAATCTTTTTCCTATCTATAAATCCATGCTAAAATAAAATATACATTATAGCTGTTGATTTTTACACTCCATGAATTGCTTAGGCCTTATTTCTAACCATTCTTCATATACCCTAAATTTGACAGTTTATTTCCCTCATCCTTGTATTATATCACCCCTCTTTACTTCTACTCTTAACTCATATCTAATTACCTCACCTAAGAGCCAATTTCACTCCTGAATCTTACTACTATATTCAAATTATCCCTTAATCACCATGTCTTCCCATTTCCTAATAATAAAGCTTACATCCTATACTGTTTTCTAATCAATAATAGCGTATTATATTTTCTAATTTACCATGACAAGAATGTAGTATATAATTTTTAATCCGAGTTGTGAGGAGCAGATTGGATTTACGTTAGTGGTTGTAGGGATGATATTGGATCTTATGACGGTCTCTCTTTTCCTTAAGCTACGATTACATATATCAAAACATGCTTGTCACAAACACTCAATCGGAAGGGCGATTTTGTTTTAACTTTTAGATTTATGAATGAGCAAAAGAAGGAACTTATCAATAAGCTTACGTCTCTTCACGTCGAAGCTCATACGCCGAAGTGACTTTCTGCTTTTGGCCTTTTGCTGCACCTCTTCCTTAGTCTCTTGAATCCTACTTCTTATTTCTCTTCATCTATCACTTACACTAGGCATACCACATGATGCTTTTTGGTTGTGCCGTAAATCGGGCCCTCCTCTTCCGTGCACACCGATCTTCTTCTTCTTTTTATTCCTTCACCACCACCTCTCTTCTTCCCTTTTATCATGGTCTCTATTCCCCTTGCTTCACCCCTCTTTTTCTCTAGGGTTTCTTCTGCCTGAATAGGTAGAGGAATGAAGCTTAAATATGGCTTTCCAGCACTATCCGATCTCTAGGACGAATCTAGGCCATCTATTCCCTTGTTTATTTTTAAATTTCTAATTTTTCTTCTCTTTTAAAATCTTTACAACCCAGCCCCTATTATATTTCCATATTGCCTCTCTTATTTAAAAATATTTCTCCTTTTGTCCTATTTCCCTTCCTCTTTTATTTTTTATTGGGATGTTATAGAGTTCCCCTCAAGAGTGGTGTCTCATATTTTATAACATTGATTGATGATTACTCTTGGAAGATTTGGTGTATAAAGACTCATATCTATATCACTCTTCACTTTCACACATAAGAGAACAAGAAACAATAACTTTCCTTCTTTACCTGCTTAATAGTACCAAGGGGGTCCATAGGAGTGTCTCCCTTACTCGTGAACTCAATAACCAATTTTAACAATTAATAGGTCATCTCATACCCTATTTGATAATGGACACTAAATATTCTATCGCCTCGATACTCCGTCCGATATTAGGGTGAATCATATCTTCTAAACTATTCCCGGTAAGGAATTTCTCAGCTTCGTTCGATTGAGGTAATGTTCACGGTAGAGTTCCCTATGTACCAGCCCCATCCACCTTTTTCTTGGGTACCCAGTTAGTTTTTCACATATAAATTTTCATCAATAAACAATTAACAACACCTACCAATATCTCATATCATATTAATAGATCAATTGAACTACATTTATGCTGATGGTATATAAACAAAATAACTAGATAAGTCGATAAAACTATTGAAGCTATAAATTAAGAACATGTACTACACGAAAATCAAGCAAGTAGGACAATACAGGAAAATAAATAGGAAATTAAGATAATTGTGAACTAACTAGTTCTGCCTCTATTAGTGACCTGTAATTATTTTTAGAATTTTTCAAGTTTTCACAAAACATGAAATTATACATCATTAAGCTTCAATTTATCATAACAGAGAATATGGTGAGGGATTCTTACTCGGATCAGTATTTTGAGATGTCGAGCTGTCTACTACACCTCCTAACGGCTACCAGGTTCCCTGAAGTTTTCATGTAGAATTCAAAACACTCGTCACACACCTAAAAATACTCTAAAAATCCAAAATCAGTATCCAAAACTCATTATGGGAAATTTTTGGGGTTCCAGCATAACGGCACTTCCATGCTTCGGCACCGGCTCTGTCGTCCACGATGGTGGTTTACCTCGGTCTAGTTAATTTTTGGCTTGTTTTAGCATATTTTGACTAATTTTGGCTGTATTCCTATAGAAAAACACATTAGGGGTCTCGGTAGATAGAAAATCCCAAAGAAAACCGAACTTACTAGCGGGGGGACCTCCGAGTGTAGCGGCTCTGCCAGTCCTCCTTCACAGTTGAGATTCTATCTTCGGCTACCCGACATAGAAAAGGATGATGAGCACAATGATAAAAAAATTACGTAAAACGAGAATCGAAAAGGGGCTCATCGGAGGAATTTTGGAATTTTAGCCGTTGCAGCTCTGCCGAGCTTTACTCGTATTTTTTGGCTTACCCGTCATTCCTCTTGCTCCGATTTAGTTACAGGGGTACTCAAAATCGAATTTCGACCGGGTGGAGAAAATTTTACCTTTTTTGGCAGTCGACGATGGCTCCAACAACGGGACGGTCGGCGGTTGGCCTTCTTCTCTAACATCTGGTTCTTCTTCTCTAGCAGGAGCTGGCGGTTAGGGTTTAGGTTTCTGTGTGGTGCGAAGTATTTATAAGCATTTTACGTTGATCTAGGCCGTCCATTATGATCGATCTCATCCGTCCGATTGAGCCTAAGGAGGAAACGAATATGGACCATTCATCGCGATTAATCTCAAAAGTCTGATCGCGTCTAAAGTGAAAACGGATCAAGACCGTCCACACGCACGGGATCGATCCTGGGCAGTCCGATCGCGGGGCACGTAGATCATCAGCATGGCCTCCCGCGTGGCACCGATGTCAGCGTGCCTAGCCATGCAGCACGCTCACGTTTGTCGAGGCTACTGATTAGGCAGTCCTACATAGTCGAACTTTCTCTATCTGCACTTTGATCCCCCTATTTTTAATTTTTCTTTCAAAAATACTTTCTGAAATTAAATTTTCACCCTTTCTTCCCAAAGTTATTTTCAATTTCGTCCATAATTTATTTTTCTCAAAATTTCAATCAAATTAAAATAAAATAAATTTTTTTAATTATATATATATTCCATAATCGGTAAAATTATCCCGGGCCAATTTTCGGGCCCGGGTGTTACAACTCTCCCCTCTTAAAAGAAATTTGATCTCTTCAATTTATTATTTTTTTTCTAGTCAAACAGTTGGGGATACTAGGCCTTGAAGCTTAATTCCAGTTCCCAAGTGACATATTCCTGCGTATGATTTGCCATAGAACTTGATGAATTGAATTTCTCGGTTGCGTAGTACTCTATTCTTTTGGTCCATAATGCCTACGGGTACCTCCTCATATGATATATCACTTTGGAGCAAAAGAGACTCGTGAGATAAGATGTGTGAAGGGTCTGTATTGTACTTGCGTAGCATAGATACATAGAGCACATTATGAATCCTGAATAGCTCTGGAGGTAGTGCTAGTCTGTAAGCAATCGTACTAATTCAATCTAAGATCTCAAATGATCCGATGAATCGAGAATTTAATTTTTTCTTCTTGTCAAATCTACTGATTCTTTTGAAAGGAGTGAGCTTAATTTATTTTTAATTATTTAATATGTAAATTAGAGTTTAAACATTTAAGATATAATTAGGTAAATCTTATTTACATTTTTAATTCTATATATTTTTATTTATTAATATAGTATTATAAAATACACCATTTAAATTAATTTAAAAAAGCTATTATTTTTATTTAAATTTCTATCATATTTATATTTTATTTTATGAAAACAAAATTTAAATTAAATTAACATAAATATCTTAAAAATTAATAGTGATTAGATTCATTTCTTATATATAAAGACGTTTTCACACTATTATAGTTAAGTTTAGGACAAATTACTAAATTAGTTTTTAAAATTTATGATTTGTTATAATTTAATTCTTAATGCTTTTTTTTTTTTTTTACAAATTGGTCTTCGCAATTATTTAAAAGTATAATTTTCATCTAATTTTGCACAGCAGGATGGCTATGCGCGTGCATACGCGTACACATCAGCGTGCAGAAGGCGGGTGCAAGAAAAGTAGAAAATTGATTATAGTAAGAAATTATTAGGAAGTAAATTATAATAATTATTAAAAATTTTAAGAATTAATTTCATTTAAAAAAAAAAAAATTATTATAGACAAAAACTAAAAAGATTAATAATCGAATGCCACCCAAATAAGTGCCTTAGAAAAGTTGTCTTAAAATTTAAGAAAATAAAACTGGAGATAAATGAAATTCAATCACGTGGGTAAGAACGTATAAGAATAATAAATAATTTTGGTGAAGGCAGCAATAGAAGAAATGTATATATATATTGAAATATGAAGTTTGAAAAGGAAAATATAAAAACATTTTATTTTTGCTCTTTTACCCTTCCCCCTTCCGGAGCATTTTTACCCAACTGAACGAAGCTTCTTTGTACCCGACCCACGGAATTCTCTTACAAATCTTGCGAAAACCCCCTAACCGCGTAAAATAATATCTAATTTTTATTTTTATTCCAAAAAAAGTCAAGTCACCGTCAAAGCCCCTCTCTACGTACCGCGTTCACACGCGCACACGTTTGCTTAACCCCTCTGACCTCCTTCCCTTTATCCCTTCTTCTTCTCTTCTAATTCGCATATATAAAAACACCACCACCTCTGCTTTCATCTCCAATTTGAAATCTCTCGTGTTCACATTTTAATTTCTTTCAACCATTAACGCTTTTCAAACCACCCTCTACTATTTTTTTTTTTTTTTTTTTTTAATTTCATGGAAATATCTCCGTTCCCATTTCTCAATCAAGAAGACGAGTGTTCCCATTTCTCCTCCTGGTTCCAGGATATGGATAACTTGAGTAGTTTTGAAATCGGGAACAACAACAACGACAACTCTAAGAAGCGGCAGAGGAAGGAGGAAGAAGATGGTGAAAAGAGATTCACCACCAAGGAACCGATAAACAATAACGGATTTGGAGATATACTTGCTTCTCTGCTGTTGTTGGATGAGGAGGCGAAGCAGGAGCAGGAACGCTGGACCATTGCTTCAGAGCAAGATAAGGCCCTTTTTGAGGCTAATCACAATCAGAAGGTGAAAGCGATGGATGATTACTATGGCCAACTGCAAGGTCATTACTCTGAATTGGATGAATTGGATCACGTGCGAACCAAACGTGCTCGCAAATCAGCCTCTGTTGCGGCTGCTGCTGCCAGTGCCCCTGCACCTATTGAGAATGCGGGTTCTCAAAAACAAGGGCAGCAGTCGGGTAGCGGGCCAAGTGGGTCGGGTCATCAGAGGCGGCTGTGGGTCAAAGAGAGGTCTACGGATTGGTGGGATCGGTTTAATCAGCCCGATTTTCCGGACGAGGAGTTCCGTCGGGAGTTCCGCATGAGCAGGGCAACGTTCGACATGATTTGCGAGGAATTGGACCCGGTGGTGATGAAGAAAAACACGATGCTTCGAGACGCGATCCCGGTTCGCCAACGCGTCGCGGTGTGCATTTGGAGGCTGGCCACTGGTGAGCCGCTTCGACTAGTGTCGAAACGGTTCGGATTGGGGATTTCAACATGTCACAAGCTGGTGCTAGAGGTATGTTCAGCTATACGCACCCTTTTAATGCCCAAGTTCTTGCAGTGGCCCGACGATAACAAGTTGCAGATGATCAAAGAGGAATTCAAGTCCATGTCTGGAATACCTAACGTGGGTGGATCGATGTATACGACCCATGTGCCAATCATTGCGCCGAAGATCAGCGTAGCTGCTTATTTCAACAAGAGGCACACTGAAAGGAACCAGAAGACATCTTATTCCATTACCGTTCAAGGAGTTGTGGATCCCAGAGGAATCTTCACGGACGCGTGCATTGGTTGGCCTGGCTCCATGAATGACGATCAAGTACTGGAGAAATCTGCTCTGTACCAAAGAGCCAGTAGGGGTCTGTTGAAGGATGTTTGGATTGTTGGCAACTCTGGTTTCCCATTGATGGACTGGGTTCTGGTCCCATATACTCATCAGAACCTGACATGGACCCAACACGCTTTCAACGAGAAGATTGGGGAGATTCAAAAAGTTGCTAAAGACGCATTTGCTAGACTCAAAGGCAGGTGGGCTTGCTTGCAAAAGAGAACTGAGGTGAAGCTACAGGATTTACCAGTTGTGCTCGGTGCTTGCTGCGTTCTGCACAACATTTGCGAGATGAGAAACGAGGAGATGGACCCAGCTCTCAGGTTCGAGCTTTTCGATGATGAGGTAGTGCCTGACAACAATCTCAGATCTGTGGGTTCAATACAGGCCAGGGATCATCTTGCTCACAATCTCTTACACCATGGTCTTGCAGGCACTAGTTTCCTATAGGATCTTCTTCTAGCATACAGGTCCTCTACTAATGGGTTTCAGTTTTTGTCATTCTTTTGGCTGTAGTTGCCTCTCATAGAATAAAATATTATCAACTTTCTTTATGGGTTCTCTGTAAAATATTTTTGGCCCTTTGTTTAACTAATAGAAAATGCTTTAGTTGTTGTTTAAGTAGTTGTCGCGTTATTATCATAGGGTTTCTACTGAAATGGTATTGGTTTCAGCATGGATGATCTACTTCTAATCTTAGTACAGGTGAAAACCAATACTTTAATACCTTCAGGGTCCAGCTCTGAAAAACGAAAATAAGAAGAAAAGAAAAGAAAAGAAAAGAAAATGATCATTCACCATGTTTTTCTGCTTATACATACACTATTGTCAAGTCAGCAACAATGAAAGATTTGTCCATCTTGTCTTGTGGGTAATTCTGTCGTACACTGCATTGAAGTCGTTGAGCTGACAATGGTGTGTATTTTATGCCCTTCTGACTTTAATCAACCCTTCTCGCCATTGATTGGGGAGAAAGCTTCATTACAATCACACCGTTTAAATCGTCTGTAATTAAGCATTTAATAAATTGAACGGAACCAAAACGACGACGTTTTAAATTCGTCTTGAAAAATCGTCACAGTCAGACCTCAATGGTGTTAGATCTCATGGGTGACGTTTGTGTATGAGTCCCATCATCTGACTCCGTTGATCAGGCCAATCTTCAAGATTCCAGCGGGTCCCACGTAAACGCCCATCTCGAAACTATCAACCGTTGATCTTTATCCTCACACTACTACTGGTTCACGCGATTTACATCTGAGGTGTTCTGCGTGCAGTCCCAGGTGTTCAAAAGTGCAACCTCTTGGGCCCGCAGCAGACACATCTTCCCGCTTGTCAGATAGACACGTGTCGAAATTTGAAATAGAGAGATGAGAGAGAGCGCTTTATTTGTTTTATTCAGGTATCGTTGAGGTTCCTGCCTCGTTGTCACCATCATCAAAATTCACAAACCAGAGAGAGAAAGATAAAGGGCGTTTTTGGAGCTTTTTACGAAGAGAAAAGTATTCTTCTAGAAAGACAAGAGAGCTATGGAGAACAATTCTTGTAAGGTTGTGGAAGAGAAGGAGGGTGAGGAGGAGGAGGTGGGGCCGATCGCCGTGGATGAGGAGGAAGGGCAGGTAGGGTCTAGCCTGACCATGGAAAGGGTGGCTGCAGCCAAACAGTTCATCGAGAGCCACTACAAAGCTCACATGAAGCATATCCAAGAACGCAAGGAAAGGTGCTGTATTTAGTACCTACATGCATATGCAATATATGTATGCAATATAAGATTGGATTGTTGAATTTCCGTTTGTTATTTTCCATTTTGTCTTTTTGGACAAGATCTCATTTGAATTTTCCTACGGCTTTTTTGATTTGCATTGCACTCACTTGCAGATGAATTGATGTTCTTACCTTTATTGTCAGATTATATTATTTCAGGGGAATATGGGGAATCTGATGTATGTATAGGCTATAACTCTTTTTTTTTTTTTTGAAAAAAAAAATTATTTGTGTTTATTCCGATTATAGGGATGATTGTCTTTTAGGCTTTTTGTTGTTCTGCGATGTCAGAACTTTGATCACTTTACCTTTTAACAATTTTGATCGATTAAAGGAAGAACGTGTTTTCTTAACAACCTCTTCCCCCCAATCAGTTTCATTTTCCTTTATGTGGGGGGCATTATAGAATGGAGTAACTAATATCATCATTTTTAAATGAGTTTTGGAGAAACCGTAAAGAAAATCTCTGTACCCGGTAATCACATAAATAAAGGGGAAATTTATTATTAAACCCGTGTCTGGTCATTGGAGTTTCTTTGAATTTTCTTGGAAAATTTAAAGAACCACAAATGGCAACTGTTGAATATATGGGTCTTCTCAAAATTGGGACAAGAAAATTAAGCAGAAAAAAAGACATCTAAGTTGTTAATAGGTTTCAAGTTTCCCTGGGGCATGTAAGTCCTTGCTGGAAATGAAGATCTCAATGGCTTTAAAATTATGATAAAACAATTTTTTATTTACGAGGTAAACTGCCATAAAGGTAAAACCATTTCCTCTTAGAAATGTGATAAAGATCTCTTGCAAGAAAAATCTATCTGCTCTGCAAGTTGAAGCATATAACCTATTTGCTTCTTTTCATTCGTCATGCACATTTTATGATCGTAGCCTGCTGATTAAAGTGTTTGAGATTAAGAATCCTTTAAAGTTACGCAAATTCTGGAAACAGATAGAAAGTGGTGAAAGAAGCAGTATTTGAGTCATTTACAAACTCCAATGAAGCATATTTAAGTTATCTTTTCTATCACACTTGATCAGTTCTTCGGCAAGGCTTAGCATTTTCTTTCATGACTTTCCCAGAAGTTTCCCTTGACATATGTGTATGACTAGGATGATGTGGTATTTGATCTTGGTTTATTTCCCAGTAAACTTTCTATAATTGCAGGCGTTCCATACTGGAAAGGAGGTTTGCATGTTCAGATGTTCCACAAGAGGAACAAATCAATATGCTGAAGGATTTGGAGCGCAAAGAAACAGAATATATGCGACTCAAAAGGCACAAGATTTGTGTTGATGATTTTGACCTCCTAACTATTATTGGGAGAGGAGCTTTTGGAGAGGTTAGATACATGAACCTTATAAAAGCTATATAGTTTGGAGTTGCTTTCTTGGAAACTATTCGATTTATATGCTTGGGCTCACCTTTTTATGTGTTTTCTTGGCTTTTTTTGTATCTTATTATGTTGGAAATCTTTAGATACTTATCAAATGTTATTTGTTATGAAGAGGGGATCTTATAGATTATATTTTTCAGGTTAGATTATGTCGAGAAAAAAAATCAGGTAATATTTACGCCATGAAAAAGTTGAAGAAGTCAGAAATGCTTAGCAGGGGCCAGGTGAGATTTGAATTCATTATTTCAACTTATTTGTAAGATGTCTTTCTTAACATGTCATTCTAAAATTCCATTATGCGCTATTTACTTTATTTTTCAATCTAATGAAAGCATGCCACTTTTTTTGCTTCTAATGATATTATCTCATCCACTTGGCTGTGATGGAGCTCAATCAGCTCTATGAAACCTCAACATATTTACTAGGCAATGCTCCATGAAACAAGTTGACATATTTAGTTAATAAAAAGGCATGAATACCCTATTAGTTGGGCACTTTAGATTCACTTTACAGTTTCCTTTTCTTTATCAAATTTAATGCTGGTTATACTCAGTTCTTTAGAGAGTTTAGATTAAAATTTATTTCCTTCTTGTACATGTATATATATATTTGTTTGCTTTCCTATCTTACTTTTTCTTAGAGTGTCATGGCATGATTGGTAAATTGAAGTTCCATACTTAATACGTTGCATATATTCAAGTCTTTGTTTCAGATATGAAATACTTCATGGCACTTTTGGAAAACATAGGAAAATTAAATATAACCTAATGGGATAAATATACTTCTATTTTTAATACGTCACTGAATTAATTTGTCATTTAGTTTCTGTAGATTATTACTCTTGTATTTTTTGTAACATTAGGGTCTTGTAAGATAAGAGTTGTACAACCTAATGCTTAGTAAGCTATAGATATCACATTCTTGGAATTAATAAATCACCCTTGAATTGTTCATAACTGCTCATGGTATCAGAACTATCACACAATTTCTCTTTTTTCCTTTTCTTTTTTCCTTCTCTCTTATTGTTAACTAGGGCTACTTGTTTACGTAGAAAAGAAAAGTTCTCTCACTGAATTAATTTGTCATTTAGTTTCTGTAGATTATTACTCTTGTATTTTTTGTAACATTAGGGTCTTGTAAGATAAGAGTTGTACAACCTAATGCTTAGTAAGCTATAGATATCACATTCTTGGAATTAATAAATCACCCTTGAATTGTTCATAACTGCTCATGGTATCAGAACTATCACACAATTTCTCTTTTTTCCTTTTCTTTTTTCCTTCTCTCTTATTGTTAACTAGGGCTACTTGTTTACGTAGAAAAGAAAAGTTCTCTCACATTCTCTGCATCAAACCTGTGGCCAGCCTCCTCCATCAGATTTTACGTTGTTGACTTGGCCCAAGCACTTCCCTGTTGGTCCTCTGTTGGTACTGCTTATCTCTCTCTCTCTCTCTCACTTGAGCTGCTTCCCTCTCTGTTGGTCCTTTAATCGTTCTAGTCGTGCAAGCTCTCTGACCTCTTTTCCCTTCTCCTTTCTAGTCGTTCTCTATCTTTTGGAGGCAAGCCACACAAGACCTGCATCAGCTTTCTAAAAGTCCTCTGTTGCTGTTTCCATCCTCAAAGTTATATATCAATCTCTTTCCCTCTCTTCTCTACCTAGGTCTCTACCCTTAATCAACATACTACTGTTTAATAACTATTTGCCATGTTATTTTGAACTAAGCTCTAGTTTGATGTCTCACTCACTATCGTTAATCTTGATCACTCAATATGACTCTCTTCTTCCTCCACTGTAGCTAACCCCTTTTTTTCCTTAATTCCTTCGACTTTCTCATGTTTCTCATCTTTCTTTTGGAGCTTCCATCATCAATGACAAAACCAAGTTGTTTAATAACATCATCAAAATGATGTTATTAAACAACTTGGTTTTGTCATTATTTGGTTTGCAAACATCTCTTCTTCTAAGTTTTTCAAGGCTAGGCATTCTCAATCACATCAACAACATTGATACTCTAATCTTCTCACGGATTCAAGCAAGTCTTTGCCAGCATCATCTGAAGCCTCTTCAAACCGAAAGTCTCTCTCACTGCTCCAGATGCTTGGCTTGCTATCGAATGATCGATTGATGCATACCTCTAGAAGATGAAGGCCCTATTTGACTCCCTAGTGTCTATTGGCCGTGACACATTTGAAGATGATTTGGTTCTTCAAATCCTGGAAGGTTTTTCCCCTGATTATGAAGACCTCATTCTTAGCCTAAAGTTTCTAGAAACCACTATCCTCCTTCATTGAACTCTAGATTGCCTTATAGCTCCAAGAGGTTCGTCTTGGATGGCATAAAAAAGAATCTTCCTTGCCACCAAATTCCTCTGCCTTTGTTGTTGCAAGGGCTTCTCAACAATCTCATCTACCATGAATCACTCTCCTCAAACTGGTCATGGAGTAGTTCATTTCTAGTTACAAGAGACGCGGTTGATTGTCTGGCAGATGTCGCAATTGACCTGCCCTTTAGTCCACTAGTTATCGTCAACTATTTTCACATGGAATTCTTGGTCCCTATCTTGAAGCCTTGCCTTCCAATCGCTTCTCCACAGGTCTTCAATATCAAGTTTGTTTAGGATATAATCATATTGTTTGAGAATGTCATTCACTGTTCAGGCAGGTATCCACATAACTCTTGACATAGGCTAGTTTAATTCATAGGTTGTTCAATGCTCTTTAACTAGAAGAGCCCCATGAAACATCCTAGTTGCCTTATACTACAGTAGCCTCTCATATGACAGCTGCACCAAGTATTATTGATTTTTTTTCCTCAACAAATTACACTGGAGTCATGTTTGGAGATGGGTTCGTTAACAATGTGTTTCACATTGGTTACAATACTCTCAATTGTTCTATTAAAAGTTGTACTTAACAATTTTTTTGGGGGGCTTCTCTTACTGCTAATCTTATCTCAGTTAAGCATATCACTAAAAATAACTCATATTCAATAGATTGATCTCTTCGGTTTTTGTGTCAATGACTTAAAGAATCAGACACCTATTCTTAGGTATAATTGAACAGGTGATCTATATTCCTTTTCATCTTCAACCTAAGTTTCCTTCTTTTCCATTTGTCCATGTTGCTATTTCTTCAACTCATAAATTTTGACAGCCTAGTTTAGGGCATTGCAATTTTCCAGTCTTATCTAGATATAGAAATAATCTCATTTATCCTTCATTAGTAAGTTGATTATTTTTAATTGAGTCTTGATTAAAAAGCAACACACTGGGCCCTTGTTTTCCAAGCTTAATGTAAATGACTTATGTTCAATAATAGATTAAGATGTTTGATCTCTCCTACTCTTTCCTACGTTTCAGTCTTGGATGGATGTTTTTACTCTACATGGGTGTTTCCATGCAGAGAAAATTTCAAGCCTATGATATTTTTTTAGCTTTCCTAGTTATTTATTCACCTGCTTAGGCGCAAGATTTAACAATTTCAATGTGATGGTGGTGGTGAATTTGTCAACAATAAAATTTAGAACTTTGCTCAAAACAATACATGCATATAAACTGTCCCATCCTTATACTTCACAACAAAATATTTCTTGTCTGACTGAATATATGCGTAGAACCATCATCAATGTGGTCTATGCATACTTCTTCAAGCTTTTGTGCCAACCATTTTTTTGGGTAGAAGCTCTTAGGACTGTTGTTCATTTGTTAACAATTTTCGTTCCTCTATTCAGTTTTGTTTGAGCTTCTCTATAACAAGCACCCTAAATATAATGGTCTGCGAGTGTTTGGTTATACATGTTATCTGAACTTATCTTCCTAAATTGCTGATAATTGAATTTTCAATCCATTAAATTTGTTTTTATTGGATATTTGATGATCACAAAGGTTATTTTTACTTTAATGTTGAGACTCAAAAGGTTATTATTTATTGACATGTTTTATGTGAGTAAGATTTTTACTATGATGATGATCTGGTTGCTCTATCAACTTTATCATTAGTTATTGTCCTTGATTTACTTCTTAATTACAGGATCCCTTTTATTTCTTCAGGTATTTTTTGGGCCAACCATTTTTTGGGTAGAAACTCTTAAAACTGTTGTACATTTGTTAACAAGTTTTGTTTGCCCTCTATTCAGTTCTGTTTGAGCTTCTTTAGAACAAGCACCAGAAATATAATGATCTGCGAGTGTTTGGTTATACTTGTTATCTGAACTTATCTTCTTAGATTGCTGATAATTAAGTTTTCAATCCATTAAGTGTATTTTTATTGGATATTTGGATAATTACAAAGGTTGTTGTTAGTTTAATATTGAGACTCAAAAGGTTATTATTTCTTGACATGTTTTCTGTGAGTAAGATTTTTACTATGATGACGATTTGGTTGCTCTATCAATATTATCATCAGTTATTGTCCTTGATTTACCTCTTAATTACAGGGCTCTTCCATTTCTTTTGGTATTCATCATCTCCAGTCATTAATTATAAATCCAGCCTCGCAAGTTATGGTTTCCAAACTAAAATCTCTTATTTTCTCTTTTTCTGCAAAAAGAAAATAAAATTCATTGCTTAGATTTCATCAGTCACTTCCCTTGTGCCCCCTAATGCTTATTTCTTCTAGTTTCTTATTCCCTACTCTCATCTAGTGTTGAGTTGAAGCTGCATAGGTTATTTTAAGCCTAAATTCAAAGATAGTTTTCTTGTCACTACTGTTTTCTCCTCCAATTTTCTTGAAGAACTTAAATTCTATGCATAGGATGTTAAGTTCCGCCAAAGGAGACAGGCAATAACAGCTGAATTTGATGCTCTTCGTGCTAATAATAAATGAAAACTTGTTTTCCTCCACCATGCTAATATTGTTTGATGTCATTGGGTCTATCAGGTCAAACAAAAAGTTGATGGTTCTCTAGAGCGTTATAAAGCTTCATTGGTTGCTCAAGGTTTTCATCAACAACCTGACATCGATTATAATGAAACTTATACTCTGGTTGTCAATTTTTCAACAATTCATAATTCTTTTTCGTTATTGTTTCTCATTGCTGGCCATTTTCATCAATTTGATGTCAAAAATGTTTTTCTGTTTGGTGTTATTAAAGAAGTCTGCGCAAAACAGCCTATGGAATTTGAGAATTCTGAATATCTTTCAGATTTCTCTATATTGAAAAAGACTATTTATGGTCTTAAACAAGCCTGAGCTTGGTTTCAAAGCTTGACATTTTTTTTTAAAT